GTCATCCATGATCCCGCACGTGAGACTAGAACCTAAGAACTTTGATATTGTCAGCGAATACATATCTTCTAGATCACTGAGCCGTTATCCAACAGTGTTCTATTCTTTTCAAACATTTATTTAATTTAAAAAATTGCATCTTGACTGGTCAAATGTTCTAAATTGGTCTGATTTATTCTATGTTTGAATTATTGAGAAGGTTTGCTTTTCATTTCAATAATGTTTACGTTGTTAATGGTTACTAAAGCACTTGAATATTTGACGTATATTATCTGCCTGCATTTATACACGATGATCTAAGTCTTTTTAAGTCATACAAACAAGCTATTTGAATACTTTAAAAAAAACGAATATCTGTAATTATTTGTTTAAATATTCATCAAGGCATTATTTTAAAGTGCGTTACATGAAGCGGTTAGTGAAGACAACATAATAAACTGGTTTCTATTATATAATAAATTACTTTTGTTTCAAAAAAATATTAAGTTTACCAGGAAAAAACGTTTTCGGTCTTCCTCTTTTCCGTTTCCCTTCAGGATTTCAATTTAGCGCTTCCCAGGTACGTGAAAGTTTCCATCACTTCTAGAGCGTTTTCATCACGTGTGATTAGGTGGGTTGATTCACTCTGTATTGTATTTGAGGATCTTGCTGTTTCCGGTGTGTATGCTGAGGCCTACTGATCTAAATTTTGCTGCTACATTTCTTGTATTCATCTACATTTGTTGATGTGTATGAGATAGGAGGGTCAGGTCATCTGCGAAGTGTAAGTCGTCTAGTTGCGTGAAACCTGTCTGTTTTATTAGGTTCTTTCCCTCAAATGTTGAGGTCCTCATAATATAGTCAACCACCAGAAGGAAGAGAAAGGTGAGTGTAAGCAGCCTAATCTGACTCCGGTCCTCATCTAGAATGCATCTGTCAGCTGTCCTCCATGCACCACTTTGCAGTGTAGTCACTCGTATGAATTCCGTATCATACTGACGATCTTCTCTGGTACACCACAGTGTCGAGAAAGTTTCCATAGAATCCCCCCATCCACATTGTCGAATGCTTTTTCACAATCAATAAAGTTGATGTATAGTGACAGTTTAACTCAATTGATTGTTCATTGGTGACCTGTAGTGTCGCGATTTGCTCTGTGCATGACCGATCCTTACGGAATCCAGCCTGTTGATCTCAAGGTTGGACGTCTACCGAGTATTTGATCAAGTTCAACAACACTCTGTGATTCCTCTATAGTTCTCACACTTGCTCAGATCTCCTTTCTTTGTTATCTTAATGAGATATTCTTCTTTCCAGTCTGTTGGCACTTGTTCCTCCTTCAAAATCTTCCCGAATAGAATGTGGAGCATCTTCAAAATCACTTCCATGTTTGACCTCAGTACTTCAGCTAGTATATTGCCAGGACTCCCTGCTTTCTCACTCTTCATTTGTCTGATGGCCATCTTGACGTTTTTGATCGTTGGTGGAGTGGTAGCTATAGGAAGGTTTGTGTGTACCTCCTCGATGTCCGGTGGGTTCAATGAAGCTAGCATACTCAAGAGTTCATCGAGGTGTTCCACGCACCTGTTTCTTTGTTCTTGAATTTCAGTGATTGGCTCATCTTCTTTGTCTTTGACCGATCTCTCTGGCTTACTATATTTCTCTGCAATTTTCTTTTTTGTGTCTTCAAGCCGTCTCATATTTCCTACTCTTTCAGTTTTTTCCGCTGTCGTTACTAGCTCTTCCACGTATTCTTGCTTGTCGGTTTTAATGCTTCTCGTAACTTGCTTGTCTACTTCTGTGTATTCAGATCACCCCCTGACATTCTTTAATCTTGTTCTACTTCTGTTATTTGCTCTCTTATTATTATTACTTTCTTAAATCTTGTACACAGTCTCCATAGAGATCCATTCCTTATGATGATGCACTCGACTCGTTGAAGTTAGTACTTCTTTGATCCCATTCCAATTGTCCTCTATTGTAGTTTCTTCTTCTTTGAGTAGGTCTTGTTAGGTTTGAAACTTGTTGTTGTGAGTTATCTTGAGTTGTACAAGTTTGTCACTATGTCGAAGTAAGGCTGTATTGAACCTTTGTAATGCTGTTTGTCCAGTTGTCCGATGATTTTTGAATACACATCGGTTTGCAAATCTCTTGCTATATTTGTTTCTCTCTCCCAGTCCACGTTGTCCTATGATATCCTAATACCCGATGTTGTCCGATCCGACTTTGGTGGTTAGATCTCCATCAGAATGGTCAAGTCCTTTCTTCTCTGTGATTGACTGCAGCCGCTCGTAGAATTGATCTTTAATGTCGTCGTTGCTATCAATGGTGGATGCATAACACTGGATAACATTCATTATGATCCCCTCCTTCTTTGTTTTGAATGATGCTTTGATGATTCTGGATCCGTAAGATTCCTATCCTACAAGTGCATTTCGTGACTCTTTGAACAGCATTATAGTGACTCAATGAGTGTGTGGAGCAGTTTAGTCTTTGTGATCAGGGTAGAGCAGCATCTCTCCGGCGTCTAGCCTTTGTTGTCCAGCTTGGGTCCAGTGAGTTGACTGATTTCTAGTACCATCAAGTTGTATCTCCTCATTTCCTTAGCTATTTGACTGGTCTTCTCGGTCTCCTACATTGTCCGAACTTTCCATGTACATATATTGATTGTTGCTGCGGTTGTTAGAAGGGGCATCGGCCTCATGACTTCGGATGGATCTCGGCTTTTATCATGAGGCGTCATAATTCTTCCTTCAACTTGTGGGGCAGAGTTTAAATGGTTTAATCTGTTGAGTCTGGTTGGCGTTTATTTAGCGAAGTTGTTTCCTACAGAATGGAGTTGTCGACCTCATGCTCAATCGTCCCTCTTTACCCGGGCTTGGAACCAGCAGTTATTCTAGCTACATATGGATTTACTAGAGACTTTTACTATATTAAGAACAAAAATTAAGAAAATGCTTTGCATCCATAAATTTAGTTCATTTTAGCATGTGTATTTTGTAACTTTTACCCAGTTTAAATGATAATTAAAATCAGGTTCATACTATAACTATTATAGATGAGGGAGCATTCTACAGTGTACGAATATGGTGAAAAATGACAACTATCTTACTCTCATTATGGTTAAAATATAACGGTTTCAGCATTTCAGTACAACTTTAATAAGTGTGATTAAAGTTGGCTGAAAATTAGTTTCTATTTCTCACATATATATTCAGCAACTTTTAATACAGAATTTATTATTTACTTTCACCTAAAAATGTCTAAGAAAAGTTCACTAATTATTATTACTATTTTACAGAGTAAACACTTCTTCCTTAATTCCGAATGCTTGTTTTCAGAAAAGCAACTAATACTGTAATCACGGACTGATTTTAATGATATAACATTCTATAGTTAGGATTCACTGTGCATTCATTTCCACATAGAACTGAACTACATAAAAGCTCATATCCATGACTTCTTTGTTGGTCAATCTCAAGATCACTGAGATTTTGTGAAGAACTTCTAGCTTTTAGATTACCAAATCGGAATCCAGTGATTTGCCGTTCTAAATTCAAATGATCTACCTTATTGAATAACTGTGTTACATTATCTGCACTATCTCACCGTTTACATGACTTAAATTAACTGGTAATAGTTTTTCATTAAAACTTCAAGAACTTCCTCTCGAAACTAGTCATACAATAATAGTATTTGTTCCAACACTGAATGATGTTAAATTGTTCAAAAGACTCGAAAATAGTACTGGTTAAAATTATTCTACATGTACACAAGTTTCTACTGGCCTACCATTGCATAGTTTAAAAAGAAGAGGCCATTGAACATCAAATTAAGTAATCCTAATTGTTGAGAATAAATTTTTGTTGAATTACATTTTACTAACTTTGATCCAACGAATAAATGAAATTTCACTTCATTTTAGCAATATGAGAAGGGATTTTGTGGAGATTGTAGTAATTTCAATTCTTGAGTTCTAGTGAGAAGCATTGACCAGTGAAGTACAACCGGGTCAGTTTTGTGATAGTAACTCACTGATGACAATAGAGGATGTGTCGCTCAATTTCGTGGACTGGTTGAAGTTAGACATGAACAGCACTGGATACCAGAAGGCTCAGTGGTCTTGCAGTGAACAGAACACGGGTGGGGGCAGTCAAATGTATTTAACACAAAATTACACGACTTCTTAATAAAATCTAACAGTCATAAAGTAATTAATTTGCTTAATTTGCGAAATGTCCACCAATTGTCTCAAAATGACTCAGGCTTCATTGTTCTTGCATTTTCATACAAATTGCGTCCTGTTTCCATTCTTTACTGTTCGATCCTCTTTTCTCTCTGCTGTCAGACCTCCTGTTGACGATTAACATCATATGCTACTTATGTCAATATAAGTAGCACACACCACAGTCTAGTGGTTAAGCGCTCGCACGCGAGACTGATAGATCCTGGGTTCGTGGATGCATACTGCTGAGGAGTATCACAATAGGACGAAACGTCCTTACATTGCTTCTAGGTCTTCCACGGGTCTACCTTCAACTGACTCATGATCTCAACTACTGAAATATGAGAAGACATTTTTACTCTCCAGGCAGATAGAAATCTAAATTAATGGGAAAGCAATCAACATCATTATTTTCTGAATCTATACCACAGATGACTAGCGCTCAGAATACTATATATATATATATATATATATATATATATATATATATATATATATATATATATATATATATATATATATATATATATATATATATATATAACTGAAATTGATACTGTACGCTTATAGGTTTAGCCTCAACTGTATATAAATTTGTTGATGGTTACTAGTAATGAACAAAAGTGTAGTGTGAAAATTGAAGTCAGTTTAGCAAACTAATAATCTGTCAGTCGAGTGTATATAAAGCAAAAGCCTATTTTATTTTATTTTGTTTAACCGTCACTTATGTTCATTATTGTTGTTAAAAAAAGTTACGAAACTGAATATATGTATGTGGATTCCTTTTCATGATCAGGGTGAAAATCGCTCATCTGAATCTGATCATTCTCAACACTCCAATGGCTCAAAAACTAATCATGGTACTACTGATAATGTTACAAGTACAACTCGGAGTTTATGTGAGGATGGTAAGTTTTTATTGGACCAAATGATTGTATATATATATATATATATATAGTGTTTGAATAATTACTTATCAGATTTTAACGTTTAAACTGCTTGTAATAAATTAACTGTACAGAACACTATTGTTTATCAAATTTAAGTTTAATCGGGTGATTATATATAGTTGACTGGTTACCTCGAGTCCGGGTTACGAGCTATTTGATAATCATCAGCAAGAAGTAACTAAAATCATAATGAAATGGATACTTTCAGGTAAGTTTGCTCCCGCATTGTCAAACGTCATCACTTATAATGTTACCGTTGATTTATTTTAGCCACAACTGATCGCTTCCCAATTGATTGATCGCTGAATAGTGGCGTAATGATCATTCGTCTTCTAAGTGAACACAATTAAGTTCTTCTTAATTCCCTTTTTATACTTATATTGAAAATTTCTTACACTAATCGAATAAACCAAATATTTAATAAAGACTTAAAAAATCGGCCGATTGCAATACGGAAATACTTCTTCACACCTCCAACATACCTTATTGCATTATTAATGTTAACAATTCATAGATTACTATTTTAAAAAGATCAGGTTCTTATTATTCAAACATAATGATGAATGAAGAATAATATTTTCAGTATATTTTCAGCAGATCCTAAATCTGATCTAAAGTAATAATCAGGTTGATGGTAATTAATATCATTTGCAATTAAGTTTAAATTCAGAATTATCAATAAAATAGACATAGAAATGTGAAGAGCATTGCTATATAATGTTGACTTAAATAAATTTGTGAGTCAGTTAGAATTCTAAGATTATTAACCAATATAGATAATGATAATTTTGAGAAATAATAATTAATTAATTATTAAAATCTCCACAAAGACCCCCTTCTGATAATCATAATCTTGTATTCACTAGAAACTGGCTTCAAGAGGTATTTCCTGGAGTTCTAGAGAGAAGCCGTGATTATTGGAGTTCAACCGAGTCTGTTATGAGATAGTAACTCCTTTAAGACAATGGTGGACGGTGGACTGGTTGATGTTAGACATTAACGCAATTGGATGCCGGCTCAGAATCCGAATAATCACACCTTGGTCTCTTAGAAATAACGAGGTTATTAAGCTAATGTGTCATAATTCTATGGTCTTTATTTAAAGTGTTCAATAAGATACTGTCTCACTTGTTTGGTAATATAGTCCATTTTTTCACTCAGTCTATAATAGTTGATCGACATTTTGAAACTCTTGTAAAATCTTTAGATATTGACTTACAATTTGCAGCTGACATTATTAGTGAAATTTACCTTTATCATGATACTGGTATTCGGGAAATGACTTAGTACGAATTTGATGAGTTAAGTAACAATTGGATCTATTACAATATGTGTTCTGCATACAACATCCACAGCGTAGTATTTTACATTGCATCCACAAACAACCAAACATAAGACAGTATTCAGATATAATAAGAAGGCACATATATTTCATCTTAAGGCAGATAGAAATAACAACAATAGTATATGGATCCTAGTGACTGGTCTATACTTTTGAAAGTTTAAACATACATCACTTATATCATTTGCAAGCTGGTTCAAATTAACACTAACATTAGATAAGTAATCAGTGTCTAGATAGTTCAGGTAACACACTCCTACAGAAGATAGATATTAAAGACACTATGTATAGCACTGATTGATGCAATTTTAAATCTCATAAATATAAACTTTTTCTTAAACGTTGAGGATACACTTAAGATAAATATTCAAGTAATATCAATCAATGAATCACATTTGTTGCAGACTTAGAAATTGGATAATGATAAACTAATTTTATTACTATTATGAAGTGTGGGTAATGGGTTCGAGTCCTGTAAATAATATCAACTCGGAAATGTAGGCAAATTCAATTGACGAATTCCAAACTAAGACGAAACGTGCACCATAGATTCCACTATAATCCATCTTCCATCTCTGTTTATATTACTATTATTATTTAGAAATTATATTATGATAAACTTGTTTGATCTCAAAAGTAAGTGTAGTATAAGATTATTTATAAGTACTATTTTAGAGAAAAATAACAATGATCAACATTGAAAAAATTAAATTAGCTGTATCATGCTTAAATCATTGAAAATTATTGATCATGCCAAGAACAAAATCGAGTAAATTTATTTTAATGTTTTCTTTTAATTCTTTTTTTAAAATTTCATATTTATTTACCCGAAACATGCTTTACAAGAAGAATGAATAAAATACAAAACAAATTATTTAGAATATTATTACTTCAATAGCTCAGTGGTAACGTCTCTGACTGTGAAGCTGGGTGACATGGAATCGAATCCTCCAGGGAGCACCAGTTCCCTCAGGATTACAGATACACCTTGCTGACGAGTGCCAAGTAGCAAGAAACCCGGGTCAAGGGTTTCCTGTCGACTACCTCCAACCACCATCTAATCTCAATATGTTAGCCCCCAAATACCCTGGTATGGCCGAGAGTGGGGTGGGCCCACCCTCCCTCTCGAAATGCTCTCACACGGCCACGCGTATACAACCTCTGCCAGGGAAGTCCTACTCACTGCCTTCTCGTGGCGGGGTTGTTGTTTACGAAAATGAGAGGACGAAAAGCGAATGTCTGGCGCTTTAACCGGATTCCAAACCAATGGTACACATGGGCTTCAGTATCTTGGAGGAAAAATGGCGTATGAACCAGTCGTTGGTCACCGGCTACTATGGGATTGCATCTCCTCACGATGCTCCACTGCCTTGTCGATCAGACCTTTAGGTCGAAGGCTCGGTGTGTGGCTCCCTAAGAAAACCACCTGCTTCGGTTTGGATACCCGGGCAGTATCACAGCCCACACACACACAAATATGGTGCGGCGCATATATATTTGGTGCCCTCTTGTACCAATATTTATGTGTTGAAATAAATAAATATATAATAATTTTGTATAATCTATATTATATAAATCAATCACTATATAACTTTTGCAAGCCTCCAAATGCCCTAGTTGCTTTCACATAACCTGGTATGCCCCTAAACGCCCTGGTACGGCCGAGAATGGAGAGAATCAACTTTCCCTCTCTAAATGCTTTCACATGGTGACGCTTATACAGCCACTACCAGGGCGTCCTACTCACTGAGTATTGTCTACGAAAATGAGAGGACGAAATGTGAATATCCGGCGCTTTTACCGGGTTGATGCATACGAAGGGTCCACCTAGGAGAGTTGAAAAACCATTACTGCAAACCAATAGTGCACATGGGCTCCAGTATCCTGAGGGAACAAAAGGCATATGAACCGATTATTGACCACCGGCTACCATGGGATTGTATCTCCTGACGTTGTTCTACTGCCTTGTAGATCACACCTTTAAGTCGAAGGCTACGGATGTGACCCCTACGAAAATCACCTGTTTCGTTTTGGACACAAAGACAGTATGCTAGCCCTAACACAAATCGAATGATTTATGTGATGCATATCTATTAAGACCAGAGTAGTTACCAAGATCGTCTAAAATTTCTTCCTGATTTTGAAAGGGAAGATTGAATGATATCTGAATGATACTGGAAACTCTATATTGAATAACTTTCCATATTGCATTTTTTTTACTGCATAAACTAAGAGCGATAGAACAAAGTTGTCTATTTTCGATTCTTTTTTTAAAAACAACCATGAAAGATGCTAACTAACCTGCTAGTTAAAGTGAACAAGTGTGACGCCAAATACAGACCACTTTACAAAAGTACCCGAATGAGCCAAGTCATGATAAATTTTAAAAAAACTATGTAACTGGTTCCAACTTAAACAAATCAACGAACTTTTATAATCAGATAAAATTTAACAAATATAAGTACAGAATTGCATAGACCAAATATTCTTTGGTCACCCTAATAAGGTGGAAGGCAGTTATTTTATCACTAGATTAGTTAGAACGGAATGGCTTGGTAAAAATATGTAAGTATAACCAAATTTAGAGTTAATATTTTGCACTTGACAATCTACTGGCATCGATCAATCTGTCAGATATATATATATATATATATATATATATATATATATATATATATATATATATAATTTCATCAGACTGTCAGTTGATAGATTGTCAGATTTTGTCTCGTTTTGACAGATTTCATTGTCTCATATTTTTATTTCATCAATTAATTTATGATTTGATCTTATCAAAACGACTATGATTTTGTTCATTTTCTTTCTAGATATCAACCTTTGTTTTATTTAAAATTGAATTAAATGTTTCATAGTTGTCACGTTAGTAAGAATGTTGTAATTTAAACATCATCTTATACTTAAATAATTCCCGTTATATATTTATTCAAGGTAGTTCCCACTACAACTACATGATATAGCGAGTCTCATTTCAAGGTAATAAAACTAGGTATGATTCATTGTAAGTGTTTAGACATAATAAAGTAAGGTAGTCGGTTAATTTTATTGAATATACGAGTGTTATTGTATGTGAATGGATATTAGTATTTAATATAATATATAACCTTGTGACTTAAGGCTATATCGAGGCAATCCGCACAGGATGCACATATGCCAACATGAGACTAATCAATTGCAATCTTAAATAACAATGGGAAGATACAAGTAAAACAACACTAAGTGAATTTTAATCAGGACACTGTTATTACTATAACCTTGGTTTGGGAATGTAGCTAAACAATAAACGTTAGTAAAAATTCTTTTAACACTTCCTATACTTTTAAATGTCATAAAACCATAATGTAGAAACCATTTAATAAGTTTCCATTATGTTCAGTATCTTTAAATCTGCACTAACCTTTCAAAGTATTAGAAGATTATCTATCAACCTCATCTATGGTAAACATAATGTATTAAATGAAAACAAATAAGTTTATTCAATCTATTATACTTATGATTGTCGAAATGAGATAGTCATTCGCTTCTTTATAATATTGGATAACTAGTTATATTATTAGAAACACTTAATAAAGTAATTATGATTAAAAGACTAGTATTT